TGACATTAATTTTTTTATTTTAATTACATCTGTTTCGTCATCACGGGGAATCGACCCGCTATATTTTTCATATATCTCGTTTAGCTTGCTTTCCAGCCTGCCGAGACTTTCACGTCGACTGGTCTCAATATGTGCTTCGGTTTCTTCTGAAGCCGATGCCATACGGAACAACAGATGCAAATTAAAATTGAAAAATTTATGTCAAATTGGCCTTTGCTGAGATGTTTCTCTTTCCGTTTAGTCGTCAAACCCCGATGTGCAAGCAAAAGGTATCAGTCGAGCTTAAAATTAACACTCCCATTTACAATGGAAGGCTTATCAAGCTGTACAAATTTGACACTGACAGGTTTTTAACTTTTTCCCATGCGTAGACTTGGAAAAGCTTGCTACGTCCCTTCAAATTGAATATCCTACCTTGACATCTGAAGAGGTTATAAGGGTTCTCGCATCGGTACACTTAGATGCCGAGGTACTTATACGGAATTCCCCTGAGAAAACAACTTCTGTACCTCTTTCAGCATATAAGAGACCTTTGATGAACTCCCCAAACGATGCCCAAATTTGGCCTCTGCGTGCACCTGTTGTTACGATTCTAGGACACGTTGACCACGGTAAAACAACGCTTTTAGATGCATTAAGAAAAACCAATGTAGCTGCTGGAGAAGCTGGAGGAATTACACAGCATATAGGGGCATTCTCAGGTAGCAAGGATTGTAGTCTCCCCTTTAGTGTGTGTCCCAGACTTTCCAGGATCCTCTATTACCTTTTTAGATACTCCAGGACATGCTGCATTTACAGAGATGAGGCGACGTGGTGCAAATGTCACCGATATAGCGGTGATTGTGGTCGCAGCCGATGATGGAATTATGCCTCAGACAATTGAGTGCATAAAACTGATAAAAGAATCGCAGATCCCAGTCATCATTGCGATTACAAAATCTGATTTGGTCGTTGGGAGGCCTTCAAACTCGCTACTTATTATGAGGGAACTTGCGCGTTATGATATCCATGTGGAGCCTCTGGGTGGTCCCGTTCAAATTGTCAATATTTCGGCCAAAATAGGAAAAGGATTGCCCGATTTGCTTGCCGCAATTTCTGCTCTTGGGGAACAACTAGATCTTAGAGCTCCAGGATTGGATGCTGGACCTTTCGCCTTGGATGCTTACGTTCTTGAAGCAAAGACAATTCACGGATTGGGCCCTACAGCTAATCTATTGATCAAGGCTGGAAGCCTTTCTTTAGGCTCTATTATTGCTAGCCCCGATGCCTTATGTAAAGTTCGGAAAATCTCTGGAAACACCAAGGTTGCATTGCCTTCTCAGGCAGTTGAAGTGAGCGGATGGCGGTCGCTTCCAGCGGTTGGTTCACACGTTCGCTACTTGGGAGATTCTGAGAAACCAGATTTTTTTGATGACATGAAAGATGCTCTGCAAGCGCTAAAAGCCTACGACAGTGACGTTGTTGAGAAGCGGATATCTCCCGATTCCCTATGTCTAAAAATTCTTTTATTTTGTATGGCTATTGTTGCTAATGAGCGTAGGTGATGTTTCGGGATCTGTTGAGCCAATTTCTCGTGTAATTAATTCATTGGGAAGGAATCCAAAAGTAAAAATAAGAATTATCAGAGCATCTGTTGGCCATCCCACTCAATGGGATGTCGACTATGCAAAGCTTGCAGAAGGTTAGCATGCAGGATATTTAATCCACAATAGCCTTCATTGTTACATTTAACCTTGCAGAGAATCCAAAGATATGTGAATATGCCTCAAATCTCAAACAAAAAATATACGCCTTTTGCATTGTATACGAGTTAGCAGACAGGTTAAAGACGCTAATGGAAAGTATGCTACCACCAATCACTATTGAAACAAAACTTTCAACGGCCAGAGTTAAGCAGGTTTTCAACATATCATTCAACAAAGCAAAAGGAGGGGATTCTCTTATCGCTGGATGTATCATAGAAGAGGGAATCATGAAAAATAGCTCATCCACATATATAAGGATACGGAGGATGGGAGATCTCATCTATTCTGGCAAGATAAAAGAGCTTAAAGTGCATAAGGATACCGTGACATCTGTATCTAGAGGAAAGGAATGTGGCATGCACTTTGATCCCAAGGTTGATGATCTTCAAATGGGCGATGAAATTCACCTGGTCTCCCTGCACATTGAAAAGGACAAGCTCCAATTTGAAATCCCATAATTTAATTAAAATAATCCGTTTTTAAATTTTAAATGTGGCGGCGTCTTTTTCATCATTCGAAAGGGTGTTCATCCTGTTGCCACGCACTCATTTTACATGCGGGGACTCCTGGAAAACATCCAAGATTACACTATTGGTATGGAAAAACGTTTCCCTCTAGATTTTCTATCAAGGGGGACGGTCGGATTTCCTAACATTGCATGTTGTTATTTATTATTTGTTGGAAATTTAATCGCCCAGGCTTGGTTAATTAATCCTAAACCAGGACTTTTGGGCTTGATGGATATCGCAAACGATATGCTTCTTTCGTACGAGCAGGTCCAATAGGATTTCTGCGTATTCCTCAGAAACGCTGACAAGCGAGCATACTTCGGAAAGCGTCTAAAGTAACGATATAACTGCATACAATCGAGGATCGCGTTAAAAATAGTTCATAGATTTGTTGTAGTTGTCGGGCGCCTTCGCCGCTCTAAAATTCAAGCGTTAAAATTTAAACAACTAACCTGAAATACGATTGGAAAGCGATCCAAAGAAAAATCGGAGGGATCTTCATTTAAATTCGTAGTTGCGGCATCTTCATCGCTATCTTCATGGCTATCTTGATTTTGATCGGCATCATTTGATCCTGTATGTGAAATGATATCTTCAACTTCATTTGAATTTGCCACTGAGAATTTCAGAATTTTTGGAGATAAATCACCATCCATCGATTGCCGGACAGAGAGTCTCTCCATCGACAGCGTTAGCATTGGATCGGCTTCAGCTATCTTATTTACAGGAGTGGTAGGTGTCTTTTGCGATCCCACAAAGGATTGATCCCGAGTAGGAGAAGAAAAGGCGGAGGCGTTACCGACGGATTTTCGAATTCTAGGGCTGAAATCCATTAGAATGGAGTGCCCTTGAGCAGTGGCCCCATCTTGAGCTATCATTGAAGATTCTTCAGATAGAAATGTTAAAGAAGGAGGTGCCATAGAAGAAGACGGGGTTATAGAAATGGAAGGGGGAGACATGGTGCTACTATCGCTCCTGTCCGATAATGGGGTAGAACTGTGTTGATATTCTTGCAGCGCTTCGTTGGGAGATTCATTAAAAGCTTGCTGGTGGTTTGCAAGAGAAGCTCTTCTGAGGTAATGGAATAGCAACGCGTTTGCTTTTGGCGTAACCGGATCAATGAGGGCCCCATCTTTTGCTTGAAAAATCGATGCCCGGTTGGGATTCGAATCGGAGTGTGAGTTGGCACGTGAATTTTCGATGGGATCTTGTCTTAATGGAGATGCACCAAGTGCAGAAAACAAAAACTCGTTGTCTTGAGTGTCGTTGCTACTCATCGAATTAGATGTTGAAAAGGCCGTTGCATTGGATGCGGCAGCAGTAAACAAGGGACTCCATGTCTAGGCGATAAACCCCCACATATTACCTCGAGCGCCTTTCGTGTTTCCAGTTGAAGAGCATGGTACTGAGCCAATTCCTGGTATAAAGACAGGGCACATTTGTAGCAATCTGAAAAGTTCTTATCGATTTGCTGGAGCGCCACAGTAATTGACTGTTGCACCTTATCAATCGAATCGTGGGTGGCCGCTATTTTTTCATAGTATGCGCGAGGCAATTCTGCAGCTGCCTCCTCGGTGGGCGAATGGCTTGGCTGCGTCGGAATGGCGGKGGTTGGGGTCACGACAGTACACATAAAACTGCAACCCTAAAACTGATCGTCACAATGACGACTCTCAAATTACTAATTTACCAATGTCTTCACCCCAAAATGGAAAAAGCGCTTTCAATCAAAAATACGACCATGCGGGGAAATTGGCCATCATTGTGGTGGGTCTTCCGGCAAGAAACAAATCATTTATTGCGCAGTCTTTGCTGCGATACCTAACGTGGATCGGTGTTCACGCAAAAATCTTCAACTTGGCCGAATATCGGCGAAGAAAGTTGAAGTTTGATATGGATTACGACGAATGCGAAAAAGAGCTGCATTTCAGCTCCTGGTATTACGATCCAGGTACCGCTGTGTGCATAACCTAATGTCAAGACAACGAAAATGCAATAAAAATTCGCAAAGAAATGGCTGCCGGCTGCATAAAAGAACTTTCTCAATGGCTTACAACTGAGAAGGGCCAAGTGGCCATCTACGATGCGACCAATATTACGGTTGAAATCAGAAGATTTATCTTGGACCAGCTTCCAGCTAATATAGCGCCTATTTTTCTTGAGGTTTGTTCCATTTGTTATTGAGTTTGTGCATTTTATTGCAATTTCATTTTTCGCCGCCCATTGATGTAATTTTTCTCCCTTTTCTTCTTAATGTTTTTAGTTTACCATAACACATCCAGCGACAGTGGAGCACAACATCGATGAAACCGCTCGGTTTTGTTCGGAATACTCATACTTGGGGTTTGAGAAGGCTCGATTCTTGTTGAAAACGAAACTGGCGCTGCTTGAGCCATATTATCAAAGCGTTGGGTACAGTGACAGTGAAAAGCTATTTTCGTGCATCCATATGATCGATGTCAAATCGCAGATCATCATCAAGAATTTGTACGGCTATCTTGAGGTATCATTTCATCTTATGCTTGTCTTTTCTTTGTAGTCGAGAATATCTTGCTTCCTGATGAATATTCAACATTGTCGAAAGAAAATCTTCCTCGTTTCAGTATTGAGAGCATTTTTATTGTAGTGTAACTCTCATAAGCTTTCTGAAGATAACTCTTTCATATCGGCGCTCAACAGTATCCTTCTTCCTAGTTGTGAGGAGGTATCCGTGTACTTTAAATAGCCGCTTAGATATGGAGCAGCACCTCTTTGGAATGCGTGATGATTTCCAGAACCCTGTCTTTGGTCCCCATCATCAAATCAAAGCTTCAGCACCTAGATTTTGGCGAGTTTTCCGGGCTTGTCCAGTCAGAAGATAACGGGCTTAGTACGCTTGAGAAAATCAAGAAACACGATCCTTCCTTTTTTGAACTATTTTCGATGGATCCCTTTTTGTACAGGTTTTACAAGGGAGAGGTATTTTTTAATGTGCTCCCCTATAATAGTCCTATTTCGACCTTTCTCTGCGCTTAGAAAACATAATCATGGAGTTGGAGGGAGTTGGATCTAATGTTGCCCTTTTGGCAGACGATACTGTCATCAGATCCCTATTTGCATACTTCAGCTACCAGAAAAACGTTCAGGTATTTTTTGCACGTAACGTCTAGGATATACCTTTTCTGGAAGTGCCGCTTGGAACGGTTTTTCAATTGGGTCAAATGGTCTACGGTACTTGGATCACCGAGTATCGTTGGGATTTCGCCTCTTCTTCATTCACTTCATCGGAAATGGGATTGAAACATATGCAATAAATCGCTCCAAAACTTGATGCATAGTTTATTAATGAATCTAAAATCATACGGGCACGGCTCTATTGAATGCATTTATAAAATCTTCCTTCAACTGGGGATAAGAATAAAAAATACCTTCTCAACAACAGAGGCTTGGCTACATAAATACGTTTCAAACAAGGCATTGCAAAGCCAGGGGGATGGTATCCTAGCAGTCCTAGTGCCCTAGTATGATCAGTCGATATCACCAACCTGGAAGTAAACCTCCAAAACATCGGGATTTTGGAGGCTTTTTTCAAATACAAGCACATCTCCAGGGTATATATCGCCTCTGGGGATCGATGCCTTTAGCGCTGCAATTGAGTCCCTACACCGATCCTAAGAAGCATCATCAGCATTAAAAAACAAACTATTTCCGACGTGTCTTTAGGCAGTTGCAATTGCAATTGCTGAAGCAGAGCCCTTTCAAGCCCTGCCCGCATATGCGTCCCCGTGGTGGCGCGAGAGGGAGCCAGTCGCAAGGCTAGCGACTGCTTCGAAACAGCATCAGAGCACGTATTAAAAGACTTGGCATCGTCGTTTTCGGTCACATAAATCCCGATCGAATAAACGGAAAACTTTAAAAAAGTCACTTTTCTTGCTGCTGCGGATAGAAGCTTGTACTGATTTTGAAGCACAAGCTTCGTTGGAACATGCATTCCCGTTCCTTTTTCATAAAAAAGACCGGTGTTTTTGCCATTTGCGGCATCACTATCGCATGAAACTTTGCTGTAAAAAAGGGGGCCAATGGCAAAGGATAAACCGGCAAGTGGGACATAAAACTTAAATGAAGCAAACATGAAAAATTGCTTCCACCGGGGTGTTAAATTTACATCATCAAATACTTATAAACCAATTTTTTTTCAAGGCATGGCCCTGTTGGTTCCTAAAAATGGAAGATAGCTTTTCTGACGACTCCATCAATGAAGCTGAAGATGTTTCTCTTCCCAAGGGTATTACCGCATCTATAATGCGTAGCGACAATTTCAAAGTTGATACAGGAACGTCTTCCCTCTGATATTACGTGCGCTAAAGAAACTCGGGATCTTCTTGTCTCCTGCTGTGTTGGTACAACATTGCTTGCTTAAAATAGAATTCATTCATTTACTCGCAACTGAATCCAATAAAATCTGTGAAAATGAGTCCAGAAAGACGATTGCCCCTGAACATGTATGCAATGCGCTTCAGGTTCCTTTGATTCGTTTATGATGTGTAGAACCTTGGATTTTCAGACTATGTGCCGGACGTACGGACCGCATTAAAGGAGCATAAGGAGGTAGCAAAATCCCGAGAAAGGAAATCCAACCGCTTTGATGATGGGGGCTTATCTAGGGAAGATTTGCAGCGAGAACAAGAAGCTCTCTTTGAAAAGGCCCGACAAAAATTTCTTGCAACCTCGTCCCCGACAGCACCCTCATCCTCATTACCAGGATTCTCTGTAAATTAGACTCCGAATAAATAATTTTATAACTAAATTGTACATTCAAAATAATGTCACCCCACACTTTTTGCATATTTAGGCGGCCGGTCACTCAAGTTGACATACAACAACTCCGGTTTATTTTTCAAAATAAATGGAATAATTAAAATTTCTCTTCCTTAAAACTGGATATCTGCAACGTTTGAAAATAAAGCTTTCCCTAACCGGACTAAAGATAAATAGGAAACAGTTGGCTACCTTTGACGGATTGCGCTAGTCACACGGTCGAGATCCAAATCCAAAAGATTTACCAAAAAAAGACCAATTTCATTATTGGCATGGAACCCTCTCAATAGAGACGAAGCATAACCATATGCATGAAGGTTTACATCAACGCTAGAATGCCCACTGGTGGCCCACGAGATTCGGGCGCTTTTTGAAATGAATTGTGATAAGATGCCCGTAAAAATGACCTCATTTTCAATGTTATCAATTAGCAATTTCAGTAAAGCACCATCAGCTAGTCGCTGATCGGAGGGATCTAGGCCTAGGCCTTCGACAAAGATATCTTTAATTATGAATTCCTCCAGGAGAGACTCTTCAAACCATGCCGTTTCCTCTTGATACCCTTGATTCCGCGTGGATTTATAAAGAGGCCTCCTTTTAAGGTTTCTTCGTTTCAAAAATCTGGTTGCCGATTGAACCATAAAAGAGAGTGAATGTTTGACGCGCAAAATTTCATCGGGAAACCAAACGTAATCTGGCGGTACATTGATGTTCAACTGACGACCCACCGATAGCCCACCGGTTTCATGGTCGGATACCTGAAAAAAGTAAAAACCCTGCTTACCACAACAACTAAGGTATTTGGATTGCTGTTGGCAAACGAAATTGCAACGCTTACTGCCTCTTGAAATGCCATAATCTCACGGTAATGTGCAGGGCCGTCATTTTTGTGTGCAGCCATATCAATTTTGGAGCCTTCAACTACCAAAACAAAGCCCTTTGTGCGTTCTTCTTCATTTATCGGAGCAAGAAGCTTCAAAGCAGTGCTGGTCATTTCCGAAAGCGAAGGTTCATTCTTTAAATGCCTATCAATCTCGTATTCCATGTTCTCTGCTGCAAGTAATCCAAGAACGGGGTGTCTAGAGGTCATATTTGATGAGTTGATATCGGAAATCGATGTATAAATAGAAGCATTGTGATGATTTTTCGCATATTCTAGCAGATTTTTAGAATCAATCCTGGAAGATTCAACTGAAAAAGAAAAATTTAAATTTGAAAAAATAGAGACCGAGCCTCCAGGTACGAAAGAACAAAGACCGCCTCCAATCAGAACGTCATTCATCTTTTTTATCCCGTGCATTCCAACCATGTATTCAGAAATGAGACTTTCCATGTTTCTGTGCAAGGCATGCGCCCAAAAGGAGCCTGGAGTGGCATCTGCAACCTTACTTGTAACAACCATCCCAGTCCTCATTCCACTTAACTTGGCTGCTTCTAAGATCGTTCCGCAAGGCTTTTTTTTCCCATCAACTACAACATAAAAATCTGAAATTTTTGAAACGACATGTCATTTGATATCAAGTTGACGTGCACACTAACCTGCAATGGCCCCATTAAATGTTTTTATGCCGCAAGAATATGCAGTAGCCCCAGCGGCACTATCAGTAATCGGAGTCCCAAAGGCTGATTGAGGATCTCTAATGAAGCTTCCAAKGTTAAGCGGAGACGTTTCAACCGATCCAACGATGATGGAATCAAGAGGCAATTCTATCACTTTTTTGCTGTGCATATTGCGCATCTCTTGTTGATAAAGTTGTCTGGCAAACGTTTCAGAGGCAGGTCCAAATCCGTCTGGTATCATAAGTATTACATTGACTAAAAGGTCAGCAAGAAAAGTTACTTGGAAACTCATTAGACGAATTGGAGTAGCAAAAAAAATGCAATATCAAAAGTAGCAAAATAACGCTGTACTTCATTAGCTAAAACTCTTTTTCTCAGCCAAAGAGATAATAAGCAATAAATGTAAACGCTGGCGCTGGCGCTGAGATTCAATCGGAATCATCTAAATCATGATACAATCGGTGATTTGTTTCGGATCGGGAATATTTACCATCTTTTGTTTTGACAATTACCCTATAAATTAAATTTACAAAAGTGAACACCATTTTAGCAATTTAATTTGTAAAGCGTTAAATTTCACAATTTTAATGATCGAGCCCAAATCCAGCGGTCGTTCTAATGATGTTCGGTATACTGCCTCCTTAATTGTAGTGTATGGGTCGACGGATGCTTTGATATGATGCACTTTGGACACGCAAATGCTCTTAGGCAGGTAATTGTCATTCATCAAATCTTTTCCCTCCAACTTAGGCAAAGGCATTTGGAGACAAGTTAATTGTCGGTATCCATTCAGATGTGGACATTGAGCTGAATAAAGGCCCAACCGTAATGAACGAAAAAGAACGCTATGCGGCAGTTGCTGCTTGCAAGTGGGTGGATGAAATTGTGCCTGGGGCTCCATACCAAACCCAGTTGGAGGTGATGGATGAATACAAATGCGATTTTTGCGTACATGGAGATGATATCACCACAATGGCAGATGGCTCGGACACATATGCAATAGTAAAGGCTGCCCACCGTTACAAGTATTGGCGTTTCTTTTCACAAAAGGGAATGCAAAAGGACCGTCGGTGTGTCTACCACAGACCTTGTGGGGAGGATGTTGCTTTTAACCAGAAATCACCATTTAAACTCAGATCTTAACTTGTCAAATGAAGAGTTACTGGAAACCAGGGAATCTAAGGTGGGGTTTCTTTTCGCTATCCATCACAGATCGTCAGTCCCTACACAAACGCAGGCATACAGTTTTTCCCCACAATCGGCCGTTTATTTGAGTTCTCAACTTTGCGAGCGCCTAAAGTACTATATTTGCTTTGAAATTTTGGTATAGCCAAGCGAGGTCATTGTATATGTGGACGGGGCATTTGATTTATTTCGTAAGATCGTTTATCTCATCATTAAGATGCTGGTCACTCTGAGCTATTTAAGAAGGCAAAAGAGCTAGGGGATTACCTGATTGTTGGGATCCATGACGATATTGTAATCTTGATGCCGAATACTGACTAATAGACGGTCAATCGAGTCAAGGGATCCAATTTTCCCATCATGAATTTCTATGAACGGGTATTGTCTGTGTTGTCTTGCAAAGTATTTACCTTTTGCTTATCTTTTGCAGTATGTCGATGAAGTTGTGATTGGGGCCCCGCACAAAGTTACCGCTGGTCTTCTCGAAAAAGTTCACAATATCTCTTTCGTTGTGCATGGGAAAACGACTCTTATTCGTGATATTGATGGCTCCGATCCATATGAAGTGCTCGCATCTTTTTAATGCATAGATTCCCAAACAAAGAGGCATATATAGGGAAATCGAAACGGAGTTCTCCTATCTCACTACGGAGGTGATTTTGGAGAGAATTTACAAGAATCGCTTAAGGTTTGTGCTCAACATACTCGCGCCATAGATATGAAGAGAGAAACAAAAAAAAGCAAGAAAAAGAGCTCTTGCTTCTCAATACTCAGTAGGGTCGTACGGAAGGCGTAAATAAAGCTGGAGCATTAAACTTAGTTTTTCCAATACATTTATTTAAGAGAAGATCAAAGTAAACTCGGGAGTGATTCCAAAGACGCCAAACTACCTACTGGCTCGATGAGGAGGTTTTCCTGGATGTGGAGCTGGGGTGGATTTAGCTTCTTCCGGAACTTTAGCAAGCTGTACAAACTCCGCCATCAATGGAAGATGATCAGAAGGAAAGTGAATGCTCGGAAGACCTACTAATCCCTCTAGGGATGCATCTTCTGCCGTTGGAAGGGCCAGGCGCCCAGTTACTTGAAGATTGGACTCTGAAAACCAAATGTAATCAATGAGGCCAGAAAAGGTGTCTGTGATTGTAGAAATGCGGTCGTCTTCGATGAAGACATTTGTTTCACAATGATAAGCAGACTTGAGAGGAGTCGCTTTTTTCACGGCGGCACCGGCGAGCGAATCGGTGAATGGTGGATAGGAAAACCCAAGCCAGTCTGGATGGGTTCCCGTGATATTTCCCTCCGAAAAGATCGAATGTGTACCAGATCCAATGATGGCGTTAAAATCGCCAGCAATCATTATTGACGGGGAATCACACAAGGAGGCCATTTGCTGAAGCTTTTGTGATAAAATCGACGCCTGTAGCATTTTTACATCTTTAAATGTCTCGTCCCATTGAAGATGAACGCTCCCCAAAATCAGGGGAGGAGAATTGGCACAATCTAAACGCCTAAAGCGGGCAATAAGAGCAACATTGTCCTTCAGCATTGCCCTATTAAAGAGATCAGAAGATGATCCAACAATAGGAGGGCCAGGCTCTAAAATGGAAAATGAATTGATTGGCGAGGAAGATCTAAGCGTAGTGGAGTTCATTGAGCGTTCGGACAAAAGTGATGGCGAACAAAATTCAATAGGGGAAACCAAATCCAAACAGAACCGTCCAAACCGCCAAAATATGCAAACACCATCGACGGGAGAAGTCTTCGGATCGTTATTGGTGGAAAGTGTCCTAAATCTATGCTTCGGCTGGAAAATTCCTTCATAATAATTAGAAGAGTCCATTCTAAGCTCTTCTATAAGCGAATGAAAGACAGACACTTCGACTTCCTGCAAAATAATGAAATCGGCTCCTGAAGCTCTAAGGGTTTGAATAATTGACTCTTGGCGATAAGGCCACGAGAGTGCCCAAGACGGTGTATATCCGTATCTTGATGGGTCCGCATATATTTCCGCCAAAATGTTCCAAGACAGAACTAGGATGGGAGGATCGATGCTAAGCTGATTTTGATGGTTATTTGGGCCAAGCACCTCCCATCTCCTTGGCGGAGGCTGAGAAACACCCACAGAAACATTATCTCTGAGAAATGGGATGATAAGTGAGGCTGTTCTATTGGCCAAAACAGAGGTCGCGTGTAAAGCAGAAGATACAGGGGCAATGCTAGATGAGTTTGCAGACATAGATGGAATGCTGCCGATGTTTGAAAGTGCAGAAAGAAGGAGCGGATCACTCCATGGATTGCCCTCCAAATTCAAAGATACCAGGCGATGAAGGTTTCCAATGCTCGAGGGAAGAGAACAAAGCTCGTTTTCTTGGAGCTGCAACTCTTTCAGTTGTGTACAATATCCAAGAGCAGGGGTCAAGGTCATTAATCGGTTATAGCCAAGATGGAGTATGGTAAGATTTTTTAACAGCCCGATTTCAGGTGGGATTTCTTGCAGGAAATTTGCCGTTAAATAGAGACCGGTAAGAGACATTACTAGGGATGAGAACCCAAATCCATTTCCAAAAAGTGGCGAAGATCGGGATAATTGACGGAGGCCAACGCCGCTCATATCCAATGCATGCCACGAGGATTGGGTAGTAGCTGTGGGCGCGATGACAAATTGATTCGAACCAGCATTGGATGCTGAAGTTGATGTCGCAGCAAGTGAAATATTATTGTCTTCATCGACGGCCGTGGATGGATCGTCTTTTATCAACCTATTGTTTGAGGCTAGGGACAATTTAAAATAAGCATGAGGAAGCGCATCTCGATAGAAAGGAAGCCCATTCATACTCATTGAGAGGCTTGAATGATGATGATGGTGATGATGATAGTGATTATGGGATGACACATGCTGAGGATACTGCTGGAACTGCGTTGCAAATTGAGGAGCGCGAACGGAAGGCTGCTGTATTACGACGGGAGATGATTGTCTACTACTGATAAGTAGCAATGGTAACATAATTTAAATTGGTAAATTCAACCGAAATGACAACTTACTTTGACGGCGCTGACGAGGACGGGACAAAAGTATGGGAGGGAGATCCCGATTGCTGCTGGATGGTCTTTACCGGTGAAATTTTGGAAGGGGTTGGCTGCACTTTGGGGTACCCCCTTTGAAGAACAGAAGGATGCATTTGGTTTGAAGAAGCAGACGAAGCAAACGAGGATGGCGGCAATTCAAATTGGCCCGAAGAGGCCGAAATCCCGGCGATTATCCCGGATTTTGGAGGCAGTCCAAAGGACCCTGGGGGCAACGGGGGATGCTTATTTGCTGACATTGTTGGTAAATTATGGACCCCAGTAGCAGTGCCACTAGATGCGGTAGCATTGGCTGCAGCAGTGTTAACCATCAGCAACTATACTCTGGCGATTAAGATCTAAGGAGAATTAAATAAATTTTCTTTTTCACATTATAGTTTTACAAACCATAATTAATGTTCAATGCCCCGGCATCCCGGGCTTTGCTTTATCCTCGCTTGGGCTTCGTTAGCCGTTTGCGTGCACAGCGGACGGCCTTTTATTCTAATTTTCCCATCAGCGACTTAAACGCGCCAAAAAGTCTGGACTTATCCAGATCCAAGGTCATCACATGTACAAATGGTCTGTTTCAAGATATCTACAGACTAATTCAGCCGACCAACTCCCCCTCCGTTTCAAGCGGCATTTTGTTTCTAAGCCCTTCGATTGTTCTAGATAGCCTAAAAAGCATCTTCAGCTTCGCTCCCGCAAAGGCAGGCATGGCCGATATAGATATTTATTGCCGACATTTTTTTAACGCAGCGCTGGTTCTCGCGCTATTGCATTTGGATCCAGATTGCAGGAGGACCTTTTTAAAAAAGCACACCGATTTGCTTGAATCTGTAAATCTGGCCAACCGGGGCCATGGCGGCGACAGCCGTCAAAAGGAAAATAGCCTTGTACCTGCAGACTTGAACCATCTAAACTCATATCAACTGATCTGCGACATTCTTAACAGCAATTTGAAGGAAACTCTTGTAAATGCCGTATCCTGCGGGCTATTTGCTGCCTCGGATGCGCCCATTACGATGTTTAGCACGCCCATTCTATTTTGGATTTTGTTTGGGCTGATCAAGTTTGGAGGCGCGCCATTTCATAAATATGCAACGCAGAGACTTTGTAACAACTTTACTCATGAATCTTCGTTTTTGGAATCGTCTTCGATGACCTTTATCCCGGATCTTTGGGATTTTCTGGTCCACAACCAAAAGGCAGCCATTCCAAATGACCTTTTGCTCGAGTTTTTCACATTCCTATCTAGCTTTCAGAACAAGGATGTGTATGTCAATTCAGGCATATTGCCCCTGGCAACTATCGTGCAATCTAATTACGATTGTATTTCCTTTTTCAGAAAAAGGGAACTATCCTCGTTTGATGTCTCGATTTTAGCACTTGAGCAATTGGTAAGATTTGAAAATTGGGACTCAATTCCGGCGTTCATTGGGCGCATCAAGTCTTTCTACGATATAGCGCCAAATACTTACGTACGGCGTTCAGTTTCAACTGAACACAAAGTTTGCGAATGTCTCTTTTTATCGTTCCCAAAGCAATATCCAAAATCAAAACCCACCGTTTTGAATATCATAGAATCCAGAAGAGACATATTAACCTTGTACTGCTCCATGATGACCATTGCCACGTTGCCCCCGCTCATCAGGTTTCTTCTTTGCGAGAGATACGATCTTTTGGTCTTTAAGCAGCTTGTTGAGCGAATCGCTAGTGCAAAAATTCCGGGATGCATGGAAGAAGACTTTAATCCGTGGCTTGAATGGGTTCTTTTATCTTCGGTTTCTGAAAATTTTCCGCCTGGCTCAATTATTAGGAAAACGGCGTTTTTGAATCATTTCCACAAATTGTTAGCCCACTCGTTGTTCATGGCCACCAACACCAACGCTCTTGATACGAAGCTACCACTCTTGCCTTCTTATCTCGCAAGCATAGGGCCATGGATAAGCTTGGCGTCAAAGGGGCTTTTAGATAGGCTGAAAGTTTCCGATGTTCTTAATGCCATTCCAGCTATACTTTTTGACCATTCCGCTTCCCCTGAGCATGGTTCCACAAAAGTTATTTTGTATTCGCACGCCTCAGTGCAGTCAAATCGGGAAATGTTGTTTTTAATGTCCGTGGTTATTGCGATACTTGATTCTCATGATTTTCGGCGCGCTTCTCAACATCTTTCCTTGCTTGTAAATAGGATTTCACCGGATCCAAAATCTGTACACCTTCACTGTTCACCTTTACACGAAATACTTTCGGCGTGCGATGTATCTTTGGCGACATTGGTCTGCATTATTGAAACGGGCAGACTAACCGGCTTCAAAGATGTAGCCCCAGATGGCTGCATCAAGATCCCCTTTAGCTTTCTTTGTTTGGACCACTTGTATTGTAGCATTCTCAATCATTTGTCTTGCAATCAAAAGTGGCTTAAAGTGGTGAGCATTTTTAGGTGTCTCATGAGCATCTACTGTCATTCCGAAATATCATCTTTGCTTGCGTGTGGCGGCTTGCGGTCAAACCTCTTGGCGGCCTTTGTTGCGAGCAACTCTTTTGATTTGATCGAGTATCTTTTCACATTCACCACTTTGGATGATGTTTGGAAAATATTCCCCCGCAGCCTGTTTAAATCGTTAAAGGCTAAAATAGATTTTAGCTCGTTTCTGTCCGATGATATTGTTGTTACAAAGCATTTGACGATCAAAAGCCCTGCATATGCGTCAACAGACCACAATGCGCTTTTGGATGCAATAAGAAACATCAAAAGCGATGGACCCATCATGATATACAATGTCCGAAATAAAGTCCTTCAGGATCACAGAATCTCGCCCTACCTTAGGAGGCGATTGGAGATCCCACCGGTTTGGAGGGAGGTACGCAATCAATTTCTTCACAAATTCACCAGACCAGATTTTAAAAACCAAATAGACGACCTTTTTATTTAATAAACATTTTGTACTTTGTTGTAATGAATGTGATAATTCCGTCTCGGATGTTTTCCTCGTCATTGGGCAGGTGGCCTGCGCATCTGTATCGAAGGCCGGACATGCACTTTTATAATTTAAATCTTTATTCTTCCTCTCGCTCGACACCGCCCAATTCCGATCCGCCTGCCCCCACTACTCCGATCAAGCCATCTGTGTGGACACGAATTAAAAGCGAAGTGGAGCATTATAAGCAAGGATCTGTAAAATTCGGCAAAGAAACCAAATCTTCGTTTAAGCTGCTGTTCCGTGTGTACAAGGCTGGGACAATTGATTCGCTAACCCGTCGTGAAAGGATCCAACTGGCCAGAACCGGAGCAGATATGCTTCGCTTGGTTCCGTTTTCCATTTTTGTAATAGTCCCTCTGCTCGAATTTTTGCTTCCATTTTTTATTAAGGTATTTCCCAACATGCTCCCGTCAACATTTGAGAATCAAGAGGCCCGAAAAACGCGTCTTGAAACCATTTCAAGGGCAAGAAAAGCGGCGCATGACGCTCTTCATTTGGTTCTTCTGGAGGTTTCTACCTCGGACAAGCAGCCTAACATTCCCGCCAAAAAGCTGGCCGAGATCCTTCAAGAGTCTAATATCAATGCCTCAACTCAGCCGCTAAAAGAAAGAATGGCTGAACTCACTTCTTTGCTAAAATCCAATCAAATTTCGCAATACGGATTTACCCCAGAGTCGATATCCGGCCAACATTTGCACGCAATATGCTCACTGCTAGGCTTGGGCCCGATTCGGGCAGATAAGCCTCGGCCACTGCCACTGGCCAAAATTACAAATTCAAAGTTGGTTTTTCTTGGTACCGATGCGTTAAGACGATACCAATTGAGAAATCATTTAAAGGAAGTCAAAAAAGACGACAAACTCATTTCAGCAGAGGGAGTGGACTCGCTTCTGCCTGCAGAGCTTGTCCACGCTTGTCACATGAGGGGTATTCCTACATTCAACCAGGATCCGTCAAAGACGGAGGAAGAGCATTCGAATACGCTCAAGGCCGATTTGCAGCAATGGCTAGATCTCACGGGGCACTATGGATTTCCGATGATTTTGGTTATCCTGAGCAATGCACTGCTGAAAAAGTAAATTTTGACCGCCACCACACCGGCTCCTGTCGTTAATTTAAAATACAATTTATTAATTAGATACGAATTAAGGAATCGGATTATTTCTTTTCTTCACCATTGACATCCTTGAATTCAGCATCGGAAGCAGAGCCAGATGGCTCTGAGGAGGAGGAGGAGGATTGATTAGCATTCATCTTTTTTTGATATGCCATCTGGAACAAGTTAAGTGAGGCTTGCTGCATTTCCTTGACCTTGTTTTGAATCGGTTCTGCAGCGGTATCTGGATTTTCCATCAGGCTTCGAAGTTCCGAAATAATTCCCTTGATACGATCGGCCTCTTCTTTTGGGATCTGAGCCGAATATTCGGTCATGGATTTCTCAATCTCAGTGATGGCAGAATCGGCGCTGTTTTTCGCTTCAATAACCTCCTTGCGAGCACGGTCGGATTCGGCATTGCGTTCAGCCTCGGAGATCATTCTTTCGATTTCGTCCTTGTTGAGACCAGACGAGGCAACAATCGTAATTGACTGGTCGCGGTTTGAGGCCTTATCTTTTGCAGAGACATTGACAATTCCATCAGCATCGATATCAAAGGTAACCTCAACTTGAGGAGTTCCTCTTGGGGCCGGTGGGATTCCACCTAAAACAAAATTTCCAAGAAGCTTGTTGTCCTTCACCAGCTCACGTTCACCTTGATACACGCTGATTTGAACCTGTGTTTGGCCATCCGCAGCGGTAGAAAAAACTTGCGATTTTTTGGTTGGAATCGTAGTGTTGCGACTGATAAGACGAGTAAAAACACCTCCAAGGGTCTCAATGCCCAACGAAAGCGGGGTAACATCCAACAAAAGAATGTCCGTGACATCACCTGCAAGCACACCACCTTGAATAGAAGCTCCGATGGCAACCGCTTCATCGGGATTGACACCTTTTGATGGCTCTTTTCCAAAAATCTGAGAAACAATTGACTGGACTTTTGGAACACGCGTCATGCCGCCGACAAGAATAACCTCATCAATGTCTTTAACAGCCACATTGGCATCTTTGATTGCCTTTTTGCACGGCTCAATGGTACGATCCATCAAAACTTGCGTTAAAGACTCAAACTTGGCTCTGGTAAGCTTGTAATTATAGTGCTTCGGTCCAGATGCATCGGCATACAAATAGGGCAAATTGATTTCGGTTTGCAGTGAAGAGGAAAGCTCAATCTTGGCATTTTCTGCAGCTTGGCGGATACGTTGAAGAGCACTTTTGTCAGAGGAAATGTTAACGCCAGATTGGCTTTTAAAGTCGGACACAATGAAGCTCACCAAGTTATTGTCGAAATCTTCACCACCAAGATGGGTATCTCCATTGGTAGACTTTACCTCGAAAACGCCATTTTGTATTTCCAGAATGGAAATGTCAAAGGTACCGCCTCCAAGGTCATAAACAGCTATGGTGCGGTCGCCAGTTTTGTCAAGACCATACGCAAGAGCTGCGGCCGTAGGCTCATTGATAACACGAAGGACATCCAACCCAGCAATAGTACCTGCATCTTTTGTGGCCTGGCGCTGGGCATCATTGAAATATGCAGGCACAGTCACAACGGCATTCTTTATGGGCTTTCCCATGTATTGTTCTGCAGTTTCCTTCATCTTTCCCAAAATATAAGCTGCAAGCTGAGAGGGCGAATATGACTTTCCACGAGCTGAAATCCAGGCATCGCCGTTCGAGTGCTTGGTGATTTTGTAGGGCAAGTGCTTGATATCTTGCTGGACAACTTGGTCGTCAAATCTTCTTCCAATCAGCCGTTTTGAAGAAAAAACGGTTCCCTCCGAGTTTGCAACCGCTTGACGTTTAGCAGGAGCTCCGACGATCACTTCACCGCTTTCTGTAAACGCAACAAACGATGGCGTTGTTCGCTGTCCCTCCGAGTTTTCAATTACTCTTGGGGTTTTGCCCTCCATGACGGAAACGCAAGAATTTGTGGTCCCAAGATCAATTCCAATTACTGGCCCTTTTGACCTGGTGCTGAACAGGCGAAAGCAAGAGGCAGATGAAATCAAAGGCGAATGTGTAAGGCGTGAAAGCATAAAATTTACAGTTTCAATGAAAGAATTTATTTATTTTAGAAAATTCTAGAAAGATTCGGGTTGTAAATTTTATTAAATTACCGTCAAAAAATTTAATTGTAGTCATGATGATGGACCTGGAGTCGCTGCTCCGCGGAGCGTCCTCGGCGCCGGGCGTGGATATTCCAATGGTCGATGCAGCAGAGACTATACAAATCTCATCTTTGGCCTTGATCAAAGTATGCATTTTTTCACTATCATTCAAGATGCTCAAGCATGGTCGTGCCGGAGTGCCAATGGAAGTGATGGGGTTGATGTTGGGGGATTTCGTTGATGACTACACCATACGAGTTGTCGATGTATTTGCAATGCCACAGTCAGGCACCGGTGTCAGTGTAGAGGCCGTTGATCCTGTCTTTCAAATGAAAATGCTTGATATGCTCAAGCAAACTGGCCGTCCAGAAATGGTTGTCGGGTGGTATCATTCTCACCCGGGTTTTGGCTGCTGGCTTTCAGGCGTTGACATTGGCACCCAACAGGTATGCACCCATTTTGGATCTTATTGCTGCAGAGCTTTGAGTCTCTTAACAAGCGGGCAGTGGCCGTTGTTATTGACCCGATACAATCTGTCAAAGGAAAGGTGGTCATTGACGCTTTTCGATTGATTCAACCTCAAACTATCTCGATGGGCCAAGAGCCAAGACAAATTTCGTCTAACATTGGGCAGCTTCAAAAGCCGTCAATCCAGGTTCGGCATTTTGTGCTTATTTTAGGCCTTAATGCATGGACTGAACCGCCATTATTATTCGATTTCCATTGATTATCGAAAAAATGAGCTTGAACAAAAAATGCTGCTCAATCTGCACAAGACATGTTGGACGGACGGCTTTCAGTTGGATATGCCGGCAGATCACCAATGTTCCAACTCCACGGCCTCCAAGGTAATTGAGAGCTTGTGTTTACGATTAGAAACTTTTGGCCCTTTCTGAAAGCTATAGCAAAAGTATCGAAGAGGAACTGACTATGACCCCAGAGCAGTTGAAGCTCAGGCACATCGGAAAAAAGGATCCAAAACGACACTTGGAGGAATTGTCTGATTCCATTCTTTCTTCAAATTTGGGCGAGGAGCTTCTAACCCATATGAACAGAAAAGTGCTTGTGTAAAAACGGCCAATCCCCTCATGTATTATGGCCATCATAAAAATAATAAATAAACCATCTTCATGCTCATTAGTTTATTGAAATTAGCGCTTATACGACAGCAAGGCACTTGGCATTTCCCTTTCTTACAAACTTTTGGTTTTTGATGAATTTGGGGTCAACCTAAGGTTACTATTAAATGCTTCTTACGCCACGAGTACTTTGAAAGCGATGACGAAGAATCTTTTTTATTCCATTACGATGGGCTTTCTTATTCTGATTGTGATTTGTGTGGTTTTTTGACTTGGCCATATCTAATAAAAAAATAAGAGCCGCTTTTGGAAATACAAAGGCTTCATTAAAACGTCGTTCCAATGATGGATGAAAGGGGAAAACAAACACAAGAGTCAAGAACCAACCTTCTTATAATGTTTAAATTAATTTCCTCTAATTTAAAATTTAAAATCCCATGTCTCTGACAATTAGCGTTAATCAGGTTCCTTCTTTAATTTTACTCTAGAAGGGGAATCCCATCCTTAAATACCTTGTCAACATACCCTATACGTTTTCAGATATATCTTCGGACTACACAATTGGCGACAAAAGTTGTATCCTGTATTTAAGGTAGCGAATTGACGAGCCCATTTCCTTATTAAGCTTAAAATTCCATGCTTTGTATCCGGATTATATCCACTCAAGATTCAAGGAAAACGGCGGCCTCAATTTTACATCGAGATACCTTTTGTGCTGCGTTGATGTGGTATTATGGTGGGCTCTCACTTTATCTAAGGATGATCCCAAATTTTCAATTGTTGAATTAACAGAATTCTGTGTGGTCCAAGATTGGACGATTATCCTGGCATGGAGGTTTGTTTCTTGAATTTGTCAATTCATATTTAAAGTCATCAGGAGTGTGCACGCTACATTGAGACTTTTAAACGATATCAGCATAAATCCGCGGATCGGATTAAAGAAAAGGTCAAAACCGACAACCTTTCTAGGGCAATGCAATTTCTCACCAGAATCAAGGGCATCAACAACACAGATGCTATGAACCTAATTACTCATTTTGGCTCTATTAATGGAATTGCAAAGGCTACTCGCGAAGAGCTCCTTCAAATTCCAGGCTTCGGGCTGAAAAAGGTTAGCACCATCTTAGCGGATGTTATTGATAGATTAATTATCTATTCGAAACATTAGATTTTCCATTTTCAATGCTGTTGAAAAAGTAAAGATATCGCGGCATTCCTTTTCTGGACAATGGAGACCGATTGTCTTACACTGCTACGATCGCAAGATTTGCCTAAGCTCCACTTACCTGACGAGCCCGTAGCCTGGAATT